ATTAATATCAGGATATTGCAATTATTATACTGTATATATATATAATCATAAAATGTAATTTGTAAGAAAAGATATTTAAGAAACAGCGTATCAATTCTGTCGTTTTTATTCACTAAGTACAAAATCAGTGTATTGATATCGATTCCTAATTTTTTTTATTTTAAATTATTAATATCTCTGAAAAGTGTTTTCAGGAAACTATCTTTTTATTAATTGTTTATTTTATTTGATTTTTAAAACTTTTTTTTTGTTGGGTGCGAAGATAAAATAGTAACGACAATTTATAATTATATAGCAGTATTTCAAATTTCTAAATATATTAAATAATAGATACCATAGTGACGCGTTATTCTATGGGAAAAATGGGCAGCTACATGGAGCCCCCATCAACAGGGTCCTCCAAACCAGTCTTTTAAAAGAAAATATTTCCTCCAAAGAAAAATGTCTGAAGTCAAAATTGTACTTGGGTTCACTCATTCAAATTTGCCCGGGCCCCACGAAATTTAACACGCCACTGAGATATCAACGTAACTATCAAATATGCCCGTCAATCCATTTCCCAAAATACAATTGTACAAGGGGTATGTCTAGGTGGCAAGCAGCTAAATAAGCAAGCCAATAACAGAGTTCGTTTTACAGTCGACCCCCCTATAACACGGTAGATACGTTCCGTTCTTTATGAATCCATTTTGTACGAGTCCTTGCCAATCACAGCCCGACACGTGTGAAGTTTACGGACTACAGCTGTTTGAAAGGTTTTCTTCCATAAAATTAATCGATTCGTAGACTAATTCGANTGCTAAGAACTCGATTTCTTTCTTTTCTTGTATATATATATATATTTTCTTATTGTATTCAGCAATTTATTGCTATAATGCATATTTGTTCTGGAGATTTATACTCAGAACAATAAAAATAATCGTTTTAATCTTAAAGAATTTAAGTGGGCCAATACATAAGTGAAGTTTATATTATTTCAACAGTATATGAGATGATGAGATGTCTGAGTATGAATGCAATTTAAATTATTTTTGGATCTTAACCTAATGTTCTGCATTACACAGATCCAACCCTGATATTCATGCAGGTTCTGTACAATTTTCGGATCAATCTATATGCACATTACTTACTGATAAATTAAAATATTTTTTATTAAGTAAAACTCAAATTAATATTTAATATTGTCATTTAAATCTAACTTTAAAGCGTGATTAGATCATTCAAAATAGTCTGTTGGTTTAATCTCTTTCGATCGAAGCCAGAAATATCGTACTCCATCTAAATCATAAGATTTGATTATTTTCGGTACATTATAAATTATTAAATTACAAAAATATTCACAGTAAAACCGGAATAGCACAGTACCGAATATTTTTTCCGGTTTGGCAGGTTTCCGTTTTATTCGAATTCCGTTTTAGACAGGTTTTACTGTATATAAGATTTTGTTTCTAGATTTTCAAGCTTTAATGATAAGCGAGTGAAGGTAATTTAAATAAAAGTGCGTTAAATTATGTTAACTAAAATATAAAACTGAAAATCAGTTTGTTTTCTGTTTTATTAACATAGTAGCATTTTACTATTTTAATTGCTAAATGCTAAACCCCAAAAAACTTAGTGTGCACAGCCTTACAGTAAATATATAGTGGTTTTTTTGGGAATTAACTTTTTCCGTTTGGCAGTTCAAACAGTAAAATGTTACTATCATGAGTAGGGCAAACAGGGTACTTGCCTCATAGAATTCAGTAAAAATTTCCACAAGTTATAATCCTAAAAATGATTGTGATATGAAACATTATACTCTCGATCATACGCTTTTCCTGTCTTAAAAACAAACCCAAAAATTACCTCCAAGCTTTGTCTTCCCCGAAAATATTTTCTGCTGACTGTCATGGTTACTATGTTAATTAGACAGACATAGAAAACAAACCGATTTTCATTTTTTACTTTTATATTTTCCTGTTCAAACTCTCAAGTAAGGTTTCATCTAGACACAGGTTGAACTGTTCAACATAATTATAAATACAGTTAAATCAAAACAGTTACATTCCTAATTATACTGTTTTTCCTTTTATTGGAATCTGCTTTCAAGAATTCTATTTAAAATATTAATCGTAATATATTAAATAATTTAAAATATAATAATTTTTGAACTATTGTTTTCAAATTAATTGTATAGGTAAATGGTTTTATCTAATTGGTTCGATTAACCAGAAATAAAACTGATCCATCCAATTGAAAACCAGTAGAGCTACCACATCCTCAGATCTTTATCCTTACAATTTCGTCACTAGTATGATGAAATTTGCAAGTATAAAGCTATTACAATTTCTAAGAAAGAATCTGTTTTAAGATTCTTCATAGAAACATCATTCGAAGCCTTTATCAATTAATTAACTCATATGCAATATAAATTTTATAATCTAGAAAAAATATGAGGAAATTCGGATATTTTCGATAATCGATACCTATTTTATTATGAAAGAATTTTCTAGATTTTAAAACAAAATTCTGGGTTTTTCGAAAGAGATGAACACATTATGAAAGTGCGAATATCTTGTCGTGACGAGTTAGAATGCCTTTGGTTACAGCCTATCAGATCGCTCACCACTCACAACCAACATCCTAAGCCACGAGGGATTCCACGCATGAAGTCCGAGTATTCTGCAACACGAAAATGATCAATTTTAATAATACAATCAACCATTCCGGTGTGTATAATTAACACAGAATTTAGAATTTACATCGCGCACAGACTAGTTAAAAATATCTGAAGCACTTAATATAAAGAATAATGGAATCTTATTTTTATACACCATTGGAATCTCATTTCTTTCATCCGGTTCTAAATGTAGACAATTAGTTAAAAAGTTTAAAATACATCATCCCATAAAATAACATATTTTTAATTAATTAAAATCAAAATATATAATCGATAAACACTAGAATTATACATATATAATTTAACTCTTAGAGTATTTTTATATAAATATTACCAGTCTACTATTCTGATAAAATATAAAGACAAGATATAATTAATGATGTTTGAGAGGCATCCTGCACAGAACTCTCACATAGTTCATTGTCCCCATTACTTCTTTCTCTACACCAAGTGCATACGTTTGATAATTTCACGATTCCCGACAGTTCTAAATAACTTTCTGTTAAATCTCCTAGTTGTTAGACCTTTATTAAAACGAGGAAGTGGAGGAGGATTCTTTATAAATTCTTGGATTAAAAGTAAGAAAATAATAATAATACTAAAACTCTACCAAAGATGGGGATCGAGTAGTCGAAACTGTAGTTTAGAATATCGGTATTTAGGGAAGAAAGCAGTCTTGATAGTGAAAACAAGCCACTATGAATATTAGAGCAGTGACAGTGGAATGTATGGCCTCAGGGGTAGATATGTAGGAGCCGGACTATGCATCTGAGCTGTCCAGTTAGTGGGTTCGCCAGGAGGGCGACAACACGCCGATAAGAAAAGGTAAGGTGATGTCATCTCTTTCGCGTTTTACTGTTTTTTCATTATCTTTTACAAGTTTGAAATCATTAGTTCCTCGATTACACGAATATTTGTTTTTAAAATATTGAAAAAATTTATTATATTATTTTAAATGTTTCTTAAGAAAGAATTTACTGATGATTCTACTTTTTTTCTTTTTTAATTTATGAGAAATTCTTTTATTTATTAAAGTTTTTTTTTTTTGTTTTAAAAATCTCTTTAAACTGATTGAGAGGTCACTTATTAGCCTAAAGGTTTTTATCAAATTGATCTACTATAATTCAGTGTTTTTATTGTAGTGATCGTGCAATTTGTAAACTGTAACACGTGCAGATATTTGTTTTTATATCTTTGGAAAGGATGCTGCAAATTACCTTTTTTATTATTATTTTGTTTGTTCGGTAAGTCAGATACCAAATGAAACTTTTTTCTTCAAGTACCTGAACTACTACATTTTTTTAAAAAATAAAATATATATAAATATTCCTATATATTTATCCGAAAAGTATAAAAATCTACAAGATTTTTAGAATTTATACGTGTTTTTTCACCCTTTCTTTTTAAGAAAATTGGTAGTAATTTAAGGAATATTTGAGCTGAAATCTTACAATAATTATACTTTATTCGAGAATTTTAAACAGGAATTTACTTTTATTTATAATAGAAAGGTTGGCGACACACAGAAAGGTATTTTTGGATAACGTTATTATAATAACGACCTATTTTCTTTTATATACTGTATTTCTCTTGTATTTTTAACTTTTGTAACCTCGGACATTGTCAACAGTAAGTTCATTGTGTTTTACGTGTGACGAAATATTTAAGAATTACTTAAGCGCAAGTATTTTATATATGTATTAACATTATTAAATACCGGAATATAAACTTCCTTTATGATTTAAAAATAGGAAAAATTTTTATTGCATTCAGGAAAACTTAACAAAAGATTTAAAGATGATTCCTACTGTATATATAGATCTATGAGATTTAATCCAGATTCATAAATTTTGGCGGGAAATTCATCAAGTTAACAACTTTGGACCCTCTGCACGAGGCCCAGCGGGATATGGAATACAACTCATTCCACCGAGCCTAATGCGCATGCTTGCTAAGGTAGAAAACGGGGAATGTGGAGGGAGTGGTCAGGTTTCTATCCTTCTGCTTCCCTTGCCTTCCCCCCGCATCTCTTAGGGAACAGGTCTGAGGTATTTTCCTCTCCCTGTTTTTTAATACGTATGCACTGGGTACCTCTTTCATAATTATATTCTTCTCGTCAAGAGGTTTTTCTTTATTCTTAATATTCTCGTTTTGAGAGATTCGATAATTCTTTCCGCGTTCTTTAATATAAACAACTTTATTTTTTTCTATTATATCTTAAAAATTTTCCGTTATTTTTATAAAATTTATAAAATATCGTAAATATATAAGAGGAAATTCGTAGTTTGCTGTGAAATTTTTGCGGTTATGACGAATTTAAACGGGTTCTTTTCGATTCTAGGTGACATACCAGATCGGTAGTGAAAGGCATTTTGATGACCTTTCACCGAGCCGACCATGACCTCTGTACCGGCCGTCCCAGAGTTTCGTGAAACCGATCAATATTGGAAACCATTATTGACGCATGGAGTAGATATTATCCGCCCAAAACCCCGACGTCTTGGAGATATGAGCAAGACGACGGAATCATGTCGACCTTCGACCAGAGACTTATTAATGGTTCCTCTAAAATTTCATAACAGGGATATCGTTGGAGGTTCGGCCCCTATTCTTAACAAATCTTCTAGCAGGGAAGTACTGACACCACTTCAAAGTAGTAAAGGAACGGGATTAACAGAATCCTCTTCTCCTTCTATTCAAATCTGTAAAACTCCGACGAATGGATTATCGTTTCACAAAACTCCTACACGCGACAAAATGGCTTCTCCTTGCTCACAAAGATCTCAACAGATTCATAATGGAGGAAATTTTTCACAGTCCGGAAGGCCATCTTCTCGTGAATCAATACACCATGCAAAGAGTTCTCCGGGTTTAACTAACAGTTCCTGGGACAAAGGAGAAGATGAAGGTGTCGCCGCGGATGGCAGTCTTTCTCCATATTTGGATTCCACATCCAACACGGATTGTGGATCGCTCAGCAAAAGTTCTTCGGATGGAGATCCAGTCATTTGCAGAAAACGTCCACCCACAAGACTGAAATCCAGAAGAAGAAATATTCTCAGTTTTCCCCAACTCCATTTAGATGATGCCAAATTGTTACAAAGGAGACAAGACTGCTATGGAGGTTCTTCTAGTGACGAGAACAGGTATTTTAAATTTAATTACATTATCATTTTAAATATTCGAATTTGATGTAACTACTTTGTTTTTCTTTACTAGATCATCAGGTCACGCAAGTATGAGTGATGGTCATTCGTCTTTTATTAGTTCATCTCCTACAGATTGCGTATTATCTCGTTCCCATGCCAAAGTGCACGGAAACAGGTACCAGCATGAAAACAACGAGAATAATAATGATTTTAGTGAAAATAAAGATTTTTATGCCGCCGATCAGAAGATCTTGTGTCGTGGAACACCCCTGAAAGCAGTTCCTGAAGACGATCGCTTATCAGTGGCAACTAATCGTCATTCTACTTCCGTTTCCACAAAAGTTATCGGTCGTCGCAATGCTGGTTATCGCAAAGGAACTCATCGTGTACGCGAGGAATTACTCCCTGTTGAAGGTATCGCTGGCTTAGATGACATTCGATACGCAATTGAACAATTGTCTGCCAAAAATAATAATTGCCGCACTAATTATTCTACTTCCACTTACTCATCCATGAGTGGGAGTGAATCTGAATCCGTTCGACGACTCATTCGACATTCCAGCTTAGAAACTATTAACACAAATATAACTAATGCAGACGAATTTGTATGGATAGATAGCCACAGTCGATTGGTAGAACTGCAACATCTACCATGGTCCAATCACGACGTGCTTAGAGTTATACAAACTGGAAGATTAGCCGAGCATCTCAGTCGTATATCCATGGAAACCGTCCCTCGTTTGGCATATCTTCTGCAAAGGCCCTTAGTACGAATATCTCGAGAAGCGCAGAGATTCTCTCGTACTTTAGGCATGTGTAGTAAGCAAGAAGTAAGTGGTGCTCTGAAGGTAATACTGTCACCCGCCATGAGTGACAGTTGCATCAAAGCCTGTTTGCGTTCTGGTGCCATTTACGCCGTGAGTGGTGATCAACTTAAATTGAGTAAAAGTGCAAGAGCCGGTCTTCAACTTTCCGTTGGGAGATTTCACAGGTGGATGTGTGACGTAAGAATTGGTACTTTTATTCACGAGTACGCTGCCATTTATTTAACGGCCGCTTTAGAAAATTTAATGGAAGAAGTTTTACTTCAATGTTTACCTAACGATGGTGAATCGATGTTGACTGCTTCAGTGTTGGAATCTTCCATAGCTAACAACGGAGATTTATGGGGCTTATTTCAACCGTATTCTCATTTAAACGCAGGACGTACTGCTACAGGTAGGTGCTTTATATTATATATTATACTTACAATAATTATAATCAAATATTTCTTTTTATCGACGAGATTTAATGTTATTTATATGTTTAATATCAATAAGTAAATGAAACCTTATTTAAAACTGCAAATATGTGTAACACGGTATCACTTACCTATATGACGTCAAATTTCGCTCTCCAGTTAAAATTCTCGACAACCCAGGCATTACTTCATTATTATAATTACGCTGTTCACTTATTAGAATGGCAGCCTATAACCTATCAGTCTTCCACTAGAAATACATCAGCCTCTTTCAAGTAAATTAAATCAAGTAAAATTAAATGAATTGCTTGTTAAGAGTAGGCAAACCTATACTTAAAAGGTAATTGCTTTAATTTTTCATTAGTAAAAAACATTCAAACAGTTCTTTGTTGTCGAATTATCATGATAAACACTAGTCTGACTTTTACAAACATTAATTTTCAATTAATAAACTTTTATATACAGTGAAAAATTCGAATTTGTTACATAATATTTTCAAAACTGAATACAGTCAAGCTGCTCTACACTGCACTTGCACATGCTATTATAATTACAGAATCATGTAATAATTTATATTCGTGAAACAATTCTAAATGTAAAGACGTAAATAATGTTAGTGGATAAAAAGTTAATTTCTAGAGAATTTCCACTAATTATTCTGAGTATTTGAAGTAATAATTTCTCTGTGGAATCGGTACAAAGCATAATGAACTTTATGGATTACCTTAATCTTGAATGTAGCAATTATAACACTGATGTGGTAAGGCTTGAAGAATAATTACAAAAGAAAATTTTAGAAACAGTAAAAATTAGTTTAAGATTGTATATAATTAAAATTTAAATAAACCTTTGGTATTTTTTTCATTTTGTAACATCAAGCATTAATTTATTTTGTATTTTATAACATTGTTTATAAATAGGACTTACTATACTTTGACAATTATTAGACAACAAAAGTACATTTATTTTCACCTGAAAATAAAGGTACTTTTAGCTTTATTTTTTTACTAAGACTTCCTCCCTTTGCTAATTCGAAATTATACCATTTATAAACAATGTCTACGTGGAAATATAAAATACAGAATTGAAATGTAAATGACATAGAGGCGTAAAGAATTAAGAATTTATTTTTGATGAGAAATATTAACATAACTAACTCGATTCTTAAACTCGAATGAGCGTCGGATTCGAAGGACATAATATTTCGGTTTATTCGTCCAAAAAACCCATCATAAGTAATTATAAAAGTGAATAACTAACTTGTCTAAAGTAATACTACAATTTGTCGTGTTTAAATTGATATCCCAATCGAATACACTCGTTTTATCCATGAAAAATCATCATTAAAGTTCTGAGCATAATTCTTATCACGTGGGTTTTTGGTCTCGTGTCGGGAGACCAATTAGTAATTATAACCGTATACCGAGCCTATATATAATTTATTCACATCACAGTTTTTAACCGGAGTTATTATTTAATTGAAAATTAAGTGTGTAAGCTAATAACTTGCATTCCCTAAAGTAAAGATTATACCTATTTGATTATTAATTTCAAGAATACAATAGAATTTTTTCTATATATTATTATTAAACGTTGCAAATTTGATCAATGGAGAAGTAGGCCGTATAATTTAAATATCCGAAATGATAGCAACTGCTCAAACTGGTGGCATTCGACTTTCAAGCACTTTTGAACAGGATGAATACACGATTCTTTGAACTCTTCTTAAATTATTTATACTGATATTATCACACGCTGATACACACGAATGCTCCTGGACCGTTCTAATAAAGAAATTGCATCAAATTTAACGGGAAAAAAGTAAATATTGACACTAAAAATTTTTTAAAAATATGATTAAAGTCAGAAGAGAGAAAATTATATGTAAGGAAAATTAAGGTTAATTGCAATTAGCATATCAAATATATATTATAACTGTAAAAAACTACATACAATCGAAAAGTAGTTGTATCACATAATAATGGGATATTGTTATTAATAACTTACATTAATTGCGTTACAGATAACATAAAACAGAAAATAACAAAGTATACCTTTTATGGTTTTAGGTTATGTTGTTTTAGGTTTAAAATGTAAAAAGAAAATGTAACAGAATTGAAACTTCACTGTCAATACTATATGCTATACAATGGAAGCGCTAACTGTATTAACCCCAACGTTAAGTTAATTTTTTATAGTTTAGTAGTATTCACCGAATTAGGAACAAACTCAAATTAGATACACATACACATATTAAAAAAATATATATTAATATATTTTACAGTAATAATATAATTTATATAGAAATGTAACATTTTGTTTTACTCATTTGAAAAGAAAATGTAAAGAAATTTTCGAAAAATCTTTCAAAATTGTTTGATGAAAATTGATAATTCATAAAATAGTAACATTGACAGCTTCTCTAACTTGTAAGAGATAATAAGTAAAATTATTAATTCTTTTTTTTGGAGGAACAACTCGAATTTCGTCGAAGAATATGGGTGGATATTTTCATAATTTGGTAGTTCCAAGATATTATATACGTACGTTATCTAGGCATTGTAATATTAAGAATGCAATAACAATATTTAGACTTTAGAAAATATCTTTATAGACATTAATTAAAATGTCATTTCACTTTTTCAAAGTATTAATGTATCCATAGTCAGTAAAATCTAATCTTATCTGCAAAAGCAGTTTTTGCCTGTAAATTTTGCTCAAACATCCTCCAAAATCCTCGCTTTTGAAGGATGTTTGAGCAAAATTTACAGGCTACAAGTTTGAACAATGCAATTTATCATTCCAAGATATAAAAATTCTAAATCCATTTCGGTCTTTTCGATTCTGTATTAACATAACGAATTTCTACAGTGAGTACATTTAATTAATCGGTTCTTCATTAAAATTACAATTTGACAGCATGTGATTATTTAAATTGTGACTATTATCTTGAAGCGGATTACTTTCTATTATATAGCAGAATCCATTTATTGTAATCACTTTGGGGTTTCCTATACTGATAACAATAACGGAATGATAATATAAAGCGACATAAATAAGGCTATAATTAGTAGAAATTCTGGTTTTATTGATGATTGTTAAAAGAAGATGCTATAACAATTTTAAAAATTTATAACTTGAAGATTTATTAATTATAATTGTTATTATTATTATTTACCTAGATATTTTGGAATATGATAACTCTGATAATATTAAACGACTTATAACAAAATTCGCCTTTACAATAAATGAAATTTACTGTATTTGTAATCATTTGTATGAAATCAAAATTATGCAAAGATGTTTCAAAAATCTGATTTTTTACCGGTTTTATTAAGATATCCGGTTTAAGAAATCGCAATTTTTTTTCATTTAATTTTTACACACCCGGTAAAAACTCAACTCTTAACCAGTTTTAAAAACGAATCAGAGCTAAAGCAAAATTTCGTAAATTTTATCAGTTTAAATGAAATTATTAAACGGAATCGTTTTACGTTTTAACAATCGTAATTTGTTGCTCTAATGGCCATATTCACAACGATCAAGAGTTTGAGTTAGAAGTTAACCAATTACCTTTCATTTACGTCGGTATTCGTCACCAATCATCAAGAGCTCGAGTTTGAAATTAACTTCTAACTGGAACTTTTGATCATTGGTTGTGAATGCGGACATAAATCTGTAGAACCTTAATTTACTGTTTTTGATTTTAAGTCATATTATCTTATAAGCGTCGGCCATGTTTACTATGTTATTATACACCAAAGCATCATCAAACATTATTTCGTGTACGTGAATATACGATTAATAATATATTGTACTGTATATATATGACTTCATTCTTTAGCCTATTTGTTCGTCTCACTGTATAATTTTATAACTGATTTTATTTCTGGACCAGACTAATTTGATAAAAACAGAATTTTTTCTGTTTTTTTGTTTGTTTGTTTGAATATTATACGTTCATAATCTAAACATTTTCCATATTGTATCATAGATTGTCTTAAGATTAGCATATTATCATAATCAATCCTAGGACCATGGAGAAGGGGTAAAGCAAAGGATTTTTCCTCCGGATCCGAAGAAAAGGATTTGTAGTGGTTCCTACTTCTATAAAATTAATGTTATTTTTACTAATAAAAATAAAAAAAAGGTTAAAGGGTCCACTACACCAAGCCTCATACAAGCTCTCGGCGGCCCTAATCTAAATATATAAAATTGCTTGTCCTGACTGACTGACTGACTCACTGATTCATCATCGCTCAGAGGAAACCGCTTAACCTAAAGAAGTGAAATTTGGTAGACAGTTAGGGTACGTAATGGAAACGCACACTAAGAAGGGATTTTTCGAAATTCCTCCGCGGAGGGAGAGGAAGAGCATTAAGGCTTAACCGGAAAAACGGCTTCTACTGTACTATTTTAGATGCGATTTTTTGTTTTTTATCTGCGTTTTAGTAGGGTATTTAGTAGGATATGCCATGGCAATGCACACTAAAAAGGGATTTTTCCAAATTCCCCCGCGGGCGGGAGAGGGAGAGAATTTAGTCTTAATCGAGTACTTAGGTGTATTAAATTAATAACATTTCAGACATTGTTATAAATATTTTTATATATTTCGATTTTTTAACCAAATGTTCGAACCGTTTTAAATTCGAATTTGTTATTGCATATTGGTTCGATTATTATAGAACGATTGTAAACGTTCCAGAAAATTGATCAAATCGAAAATAGTTCGTTTGATTCTCGGCAAACGAACTATTACTGTTACCCGCGACTTCGCCCGCGAAAATTTTGCAAGCAAACCCCATTTATATTCAGTATTTCAACAACCATAGTAATTGTTATATAACACCTACCGCTGAGAATGATGAGAATTGCCGAGAATCAAACGAACTATTTTCGATTTGATCAATTTTCTGGAACGTTTACAATCGTTCTATAATCGAACCAATATGCAATAACAAATTCGAATTTAAAACGGTTCGAACATTT